TAGTGACAAATTAACTTTTTGCCCTTTTTCATAAAAATTCAAAATTTTCCCACATTTTACAAGAAAGATGTACATGATTTGAATGCTAAATTGGATAACTAAAAATGCAAAAAAAGGAAGAAGAATGAGCATCATGGATATATATGAATTAAAGTAGTTGATTGAATGAGAAGAGTATGGCATGAGAAGCTTCTTCAACAACTTTGTCATTTTAATGTGCATATGAGTAAAGAGGTTATGGTGTTATATGATCATTATTGAATTTAGAAATGTGATTATAGTGGTTAAGAAATTTTAAATATCTAGGAAGAGAAGTGAAAGAATGTAACACCCCAAAATCCAACCTGAAAGGTATTACTATCTACAAATCATCCAACCATGAGAGCAACTAAAAATAATCATTAAGTAATAAACCGTTCATCCATTTGACAAGGAATAAATACAAAAGCCAATAAAATATTGAAACTTCTCCAACTTATAATTCAAAACAAAAAATATCTAGCAGCGTAATAATAAAAACTAGCTAAAACATTGTTTCATAAAAATCTCTCAAACTCCAAACCAAAAATAGATCAACTCTATTTCTCTAGGGTAGGATCCACATCTTGATCCTCCAATGACTCATAATCAATATGCTCATCCACATTGACATCTTCTTCTATGCGAAAATCTGTAAGTGGTGTTGTAGGGGGTGAGCAAAAGCCAATAGGAAATCCCTCTCAAATCCCAATAAGGTTTAAAATTATAAAAGATGACAAGTCTCTTTTGAAAAATAGCATATATAGATTCTGAGAATAAAACCATGATAGTTGTAATGATCTCAAGTGTATGAAATACAGTAAATCAATGACAGGATTAAACTTGTAAGAGATTAAAACAATCAATAAATAACTCAGTAACTTCATTTCATATTCTTATGTATGTTCGTTTATCCCCATTGTCATGTATGTTTGTTGCTTCTTAGGAATTTACACAACGATTCTACCTTGTTCACCCATCACAACCACATAATCTCAATCATTTCCCACAGGGCACATTACAAACACTTTGGGAAGGGCGTATACCGTCTCCCTCGGAATTGATGAATCCTTCCTAAGAAAGGTATACCATCATTCAACTTTGAACCTACGTGACAATAGTGGTTGCTCTCACAAACAACAATCCACTACAAGTGTTAGGAAACTATCTCACCCCCACTAGGATAGACTAACCTCTAACACTCTACGATAGCTCTCGAAGGCAATTCAAGTCTATCACAACAAACCATACAAGAGATGAAACCAAAATATTCTCAACAACCACAATCTTAACCAATCACAATTTTCATTACCAATTCAAGTATCACAATTTCCCAATTCTCAATATACTACAGTAATAGGAAATTAAATTATACAAGAGATCATCTCAAGAAAACCTTCATAATTTTGATATTCAAAATTCTAGGGTTTTGCCAAAAATCCTAATTTCTTAGAACAAGAACAACTATTAGATGAGAACATGATTTGATCAAGTATAAGAATTTAGAAATCAAAAATTCCTATGAATTTCACAATATAACATGTATTTTTGGAAAAATTAGGGGTTTGGAAATTCAAGAACAAATATTCCTTGAACCTAAACATATATTTTGCTCAAGACTATGTTTCAATTATAAAGAAACCAAGAACTCATATATATCTATCATATAAATATCAAGAATACTGAAAACATACATAATTATACCCTAAGTCTCAATGAAAGGACTTGAGAAGAATCCCCTACCTTTAATCTGATGATTGAAGATAAACCTAGCGTGTTTGAATCAATCCTGAAGCGAGAATCCTCCCCGTGTCTCCTCTCTTTCTTCCTGTCAAGATTTCTAGGGTTTTCTTGGAGGAAAAATTGCTAAACATAGGCCTAAGGGTTGTTCCTTAGCTATTTATAATGCTAAAACTAAAGAAAACACTCAACAAAGATCGTCCAAGTTCTGTTCGGTGCGTCTGGACGCGTGTCCCTCCCTTCCGGACGCGTCTAACAGCATATCTCCAACTTTTAGCTCAATTTTTACCTAGTTAGAAGTTGATTCACAAAATTTTCGTTAAATACACTTTTGTAGTCCTTGAAGTTTAGTTTCTACTTTCCAAAAATTAGCTCAATAGGAGTTAAGATTAAAAAATAATGGCCAAATACTAAGGTAGTGTCAAATTCCTTTCTACCCAAATCCTCTCCAAAATAGGTTTTAACTTTGGAATGCTTTCTAACTTCTAATACACCTCATATTACCTTTTCCAAAGTTTTTTGACCTATCGGATTCAATGGAAACCTTATTTTGACCTAAAAATATTTACAAAATTACTTAGCCATACTTTTCAATCCAAACATCTCCAAAACTTCATTTATCTCAACATAAATACACACCAAAACTCAAACTTTATAGTCAATCTTTCAATTGTGATTCTAAGTTTCTATCATCCTTTTATTCGTCTTAGGAGAACTCTTAAGATAATATTATTCTTCTTTACTTTTAATACAAAATCTTACAAAGAAATAAGTCAAGAAGGAAGAATGCTAAAATTGGTTAATTTGACATAGTCTGTGTAATATGGGAATATCTTTTGACAAAGAAGTCCAATTGACTTGGTTGAAGTGTGGATCTAAAGAAGACTTCAAGATTTAAAGTTGTGTGTAATAAGTTTGTGATTTGGATGTCTTCTAGGTGAAAAATGGCATGAAATTTGGAGCTAATGCATTAATGGTTGACTGTGGAGAGTTTCAGACATGTCTTGGTATTATGAACATAACTTTCTACTCAAATATCCAAATGAAATGATTCCAATGGAGTTAGAAATTAGACATCAAGGGCTAAAATTTTTTTTGAAACATCTTTCTTCAAATTCTAACGTTTTCAAGTTTAAAATTGCATTGGACAAAGATGACAGTGCACAGATCCAATGTACTGGTTGGATGAAAAGGTATACTAGATGAAGAACTGGCATGTCGGTTCATGAAATAGCATGCTAGATGGGTTGAAGTGGCAGACTCTCATGCTCCCAGTATTTTGCCTTGCAAAGTGAACCGTCATGTCGTATTTTGCCTTTCAACTCACAACATATGTTGATCCGACATGTTAGATAGGGAATCAGCATATGGGTTTATGTCTGTTATATCAATTATTGAGGTGTTCACTAGAGTTATCTATATTATAAATAGGTTGAAATATTTTGATAAATCATTTTCTAATGAATATCTTGTGAGAAAAGTGCATAGATTCTTACCAAAGGCTTGCGAGGCTAAAGTGACAACTATTCAAATGGCCAAAGATTTCAAAACCATGCCATTGGAGGAACTTTTTGGATCTCTCAAGGCAATTGTGACAAATTTTCAAAAACATGAAGCAAAAGAGGACAAGAAGGATACTCCCAACATATGCTTAAAGGCATTGGAGGACAAAAATGAGGTGCACTTTTCATCCAATGAAAATAATAATTTATCATATGATGAAATGTGTGATGCCATGAGTGAACTTTATGATGATATGATTCTTCTCAATAAGAAATACATAGATATCAAAAAGAAATTGACTTTCTTATTAAATGAAAATGATACTTTCAAGAACAAATCTCATGACACATCACTTATTGAAAAGTTGACAAATGAGAATGATGATTTTAGAAAGAAAAATTGTGATTTCAATTCAATTATCTCAAAATTTATTCAAGGTAGTGAAAAACTAGAAAAATCAATTTTCTAGTACAAAGTGTGTTTTTGATAAAACTAATTTGGGACATGAACATAACCATGATCAAAAACATAAAGTGTATAGAAACTTCTTTGTGAGAGAGTCCAAATTCAATGCTTCAAATTCTTGTCATTATTGTCACAAGGTTGGGCATTATTCATATAATTCTCCAATTAGAATATTACATGAGAGTTCAAGGAACAATAGGGATTATAAAGGATATGAGATGATTTGGGTGCCAAAAGTCAACTATTTAGTAATGTCAACATGAAATATAATTTCTCTATTTTAATGAAAATATACGTTTGATTAATTTTTTTATATTTAATTTGCTTTGTATTATTGTATTATTAGATAAGATAGATATATATATATATATACATACTAGTTGGTGCACACGTGTGTTGCATGTAAACCATTTTCAAGTTAAAATCTTTGGTTTGATGTGTTGTGGATTCTACCTCTAACATGTCTTGGTACCAACTCAAATAATATTGTAAATTTGTAACTATTGGATGGTTTGGACATGTTACTACTAATCTAGCTAAGCGATCACCATCCTTCATTGGGAAAAAGATAAGTATACTCCAAATATACACTCTGCGAAGTTAATTTTTTGGATGTTTTACCCCCATTTGAAACCTCCTTCAACTTTTTTGTATATGATATAGAATGGTGCACCATCAAAAGAAAAGAACTGTATGGCAGGGTATTACTACTTGTAAGGATATGCTAATGGATGCATATACTAACAAGTTACTATACTATTTTTGATAACGTATATATCAATATTCATGTAGCATGCAGAGAGTTATTATTTGTTATACACTTTTGATTATCTTAAACATGGGGAATGATGTGTAAGGTAAAATATAGTTTCTTCTTCAAGGATAATAAGATATTTATGCAATACTACTAATGGATGTCTAGATTTTGTTGTTCATCTTTTAACAAGGCATCCCTTTACATAAAAGATAATTTAAAATGGTTTTTTCCTAATAAAAAACATGAATATAGATATATCTTAAATGTTTGTTGTTTAGATTGTGCATCTTATAATTCTTTTAGGTAGATACTTACCTTTTTGAAACATTTGCTAACACTTGTAGATATATCCCTACAATGGCGGTATGGTACATGAGAATTTATGCGCAAGGAATGAGGGGTTTCGAGGAGGAGAGGTAGAGGAAAAAGGGATGTGTTCAAAAGGGTGCTGAGAAAACATAATTTTCCTATTAGGCCATGCAATTCTTACACATTCTCTGTGATGACTATTTGGGGAATGGTTAAGTCTTCTTTCTTTGGGGAGACAAGCAAGACGTTGTGCGAGACATGGTTCAACCTCCCATACAATGATAAGAAGGTCCATATACTCTAATTATCTCTCTAATTCCATAAAAAATTCTCATATGCTTTAAAAAATTTATTGTTTCATATGATGAAAATAATTGTTGATCCAAGGTAAGGTGGAGGTTTTATGTTAATTTTGTTTGGAAAGTTGTGGAGTTAGCAATGTCTTGTGTCTCTCGTTCTTCCAACAAAAGGCCAACCATGAATTCTGTGGTGAAAGAATTGAAAGAGTGCTTGGATATAGAGTCAGTTGACAATGACAAAGAATCAAAGGATTCAATTGGGGTGATACAAATGATTATGGAGAATAGACTTGGTCTCTGGGCAAGGTAGCGGAGTTTGTAAAAATTTGATTTTTCTATGTGTTGAAACCTTTCTACTTCAATAATGTTATTTACACCAAATTTAGCTGTCAAATCCACTGCTAATGTTGGATTAACAATGAATTCGCTACAGTATTGAAACCCATTGGTTGTCTAAATACAACAATAGATTCAATCAACAAATTTGGTCAATGAATTTGGTACAAGTAGAATTGTCATTTCTACTTTAGTAGTGGTTCTTGAAACAACTATTTTCTTTTGAAATCTGAAGGGTATATCTTGCTAGATTATGTACCAAAGAGTGAATGAGGAACTACTCACTCTTCATGGCTTGGGTAAAGCTAGAAAAGTGAGTGATACTTATCCCTTTAAGTAGAGAGTTTACAAGGTAAAGTACAATAAGCGAAGAGCCAATCTTCACCAAAGAATAAGTGAATCACGTTCCACCCTTCACGGCTTTGGTAAAGCTCTAGAAAAGTGGAAGAGTTTCACTCATTTAAAGAAGAAGGAAGCTTAAGCAATGGAAGTGAAAGACATAAACAATGAAAGTAGAAGAAAGCTAGTCACTTTTGGAGGGTGGCTTCCTCAATCAACAAATGGAGGTTTACTTCCTCAACCAACAAGTGGAGGGTTGCTTCCTCAACCAAGAGATGGAGGGTTGCTTCCTCAACCAAGAAATGGACTGACTCTCTTGATACAAGTAAATATAACATACATCTAAGATTAATCAAAACGAGTGGGAGTCTAAGCCTCCATACAAACTCCTTACTAGTTCTTGGTGTAGTCTAAGCCTGCTAACCAAGCTCTAACTCCCTACTTTTCAAGAGAAAAAAATTGCACACATAAAGCTCCCCTAATGGGAGTATTTATAGGCAAGGAAGGGGAGGGGGTAAGATAAGAGAGGATGAATAGTGCATGCTGCCCAATTTAAGTGAAAACCAACTTTTTTTTGTAGGCAGTCTGTGGAGGATGTTCGAACGTGAGTTGACGTTAGAACGTTGTTTCTGTTTTGGCTTTATAGACGTTTGAACGTGATCTGACGTTCGAACGTGTCTTCTGCCTTTGCTTTAGGGGCGTTCGAACACCAGATGGGGTTTGACCATATCACTCAAGTGGTCTATGGTCTTCTGTGGAAACCCACTTCCACACTTCATGTAGAACTTGACATTTTGCACTCATCACTCTGGTCTTCAATCAAATCAAGTGGACGCTCGAATGTGAGTTGGCGTTCAAACGTGGTACTCAAGTACCTCAAAGTCTTCTCTCTTGGCTGCACACACCATCTTTTAGCAGTCTAGGCTTCAAGTGGACATTCGAACGTGGTGGGCTTGGTCCAATCTTTTCCAATTTTGCTCCAGAATATGCTGGTGTTGCATGAAAGTTTGATATTCATTGTCTTTAGTCCCTTGTACAATTTATGGCCTGAAATTCCATCATTTAAACTCCATCAAAGTATAATTAGTCTTAAAAGATCATAGTAATATGCTAGTTTTTAACTACTAATCAGTGTCCGCGGGTTGAGGGGACTCCAGACCCATTCGCTTTGTGCGGGCTATGAAGATCAACAGTGCCCCCAACCCAAAAAAGGTCAAAAACCACATCACAAGCCACTCTACAGGCTTAAAGGCATCAAGAGTGACCCTACGCATGTGAGCCATTGCAAAGGATTTAAAGGGTTTGGACAAAATCAAAAGGAACTTGAGATTTGGGGGAAAAAGGAAACCTATGGTTTTAAAGGAAGTTTCCAAGGATTTTCGACAAAATCCACTCAACAACCAACCCTAGACAAGAGGAATGTACGAATTGATGGCTTGGATGAAGTATTTTGAGGTTTGGAAGAGAGTAGAGGGAGACAAAAGGGTTTGGGAGGCTAAGATTTGAGGGAAATGTGAATGGTTTCTCGAAAATTTTGAACTTAAAACCCTCGTTTTTAGCATTCTGGGCCAAACCTTCCGGAAGGTCGATGCAAATCTTCTGCAAGGTTTTGTATACTGCTGAGGCAAAAGCTATCTAGTAGTGAGAACATTATGGAAGGTCTATGAAAACCTTCCGGAAGGTTTTGCACTGTAACACCCCGCATTTTCTTTTATATATGTATATAGATATATAGTAAATAATTGTTGTAAAAATGGGGGTATGTGTAGTGATGTGTGTTTGAATTTGGTAGAATGAAAAAGGGATGAACAGTGCACTGGCTGTAACATCAAGCTCGATTTCGACCTTGATGCAGTCCATATCTCTCAAAACTTAAAACATGAAATTTGTAGAGCTCTCTCTTAGGATTCCATATCACCTTGAATCATCTCAATCGGAACTATGAGGAAGGAGTTATGTCCATATTACGAAGTAGTGTCTACACTGTCCAAAAATCTGTCCGGCAGACTACCTTTCGCTAATTTCATCATAACTCTTTATTGGAAAGTCCGAATTGTGTACCGTTATTTTTGTTAGAATCCTAACTCGTATATCTTTCCAACCATATAGGTTACACCTCCTAGAAATACCTGAGTCAAATCATTTTATTCTATGAAGTTGACCAAAAATCTGCACAATGGTGCTCCTTGGATAGTAAAGGGTTGTGCTTTCTTATTAGACCTTGAAGGTGTAAAACCCCATATGTTTACATTAATATATTAATGTACTAGTTTAGTGATTCTGCTATATGTAATGACTTAAGAATAAACCATATATATATTAAAATCGTAAGGATATCACCTATAGTAGTTCGAAGGAATAAAATAGAAATTTTAATGTTCCAAGTGTGAATTTATTTTAGTTTTGAAATAAATCATAAAAAGCAATATTTTTAGGTTAAAATAACATTAAAAATGAATCCGGAACGTCGAAAAACCTTAGGGTAGTCGTATGGATCAAATTGGAGATTTCTAGTGGCAAAACTGTAATTTTGGAAAAAACTCAAAATTTAGCCATGAACAGTGAATTGCGCGGACTGCTGTGTTTAAAACACAGAATCCAGCCAATTCCTTCCATTTTTTCTCACATCTCTCACCCCCAAACCCCTTAGCACCCTTGGGGAAGATAGAGGAAAGGAGGAAAGGGAGAAAGGAGGTCATTAGAGCTTGGGTTTTTGGTTTGAAACTTTGATTCAAGGTAGGGGTTTTTCTTCCATGCTTGTCCATTGAGGCTAAGGCTAAAATATATATATTTTTGACTCATACTTGTATGTATTTGCTAGGAATTCCTTGTTTCTTGGTTTTCTTGCAATTATGGCATGTCTTAAACAAAGTTAGGATTGATTACCCATGAAACTTCTTTTATAGCTTTAAAACCCTAGTTTTTGGGGAAATATGGAATTCTCTTTCTACATTTGCTCAAGCTTGGTTTTGAGAACTTTAGTGCTTTGTGTGAGTAATGAAAATGATGTGGTGGTGATCTCTTGTATTTTTCTTAATTGGTTATTTGGATTGTCGCATGATAAAATTTGGGGAATTTGATAATGGTTGCTTGTTGAGGGAAATTTGTGGATTTTATCTTGTATGTGATTGTTGGTATGAAAAGAGGATAATTATGAACCGAGGTTACTCGTAAGTATGCGGTTAAGTGTGGAATACTTGAAGGGGGCTAGAGGTTACTTGTAAGTATGCTACCTACCAAAAGAGGATATTTATGAACCGAGGTTACTTGTAAGTATGCGGTTATGTGTGAGAGACACCAAGGGGGGTAGAGGTTACTTGTAAGTATGCTACCTACCAAAAGAGGATATTTATGAACCGAGGTTACTTGTAAGTATGCGGTTATGTGTGGGAGACTTCAAGGGGGGTAGAGGTTACTTGTAAGTATGCTACCTACCTAAAAGGACATCTAACGACCGTGGTTACTTGTAAGTATGCGGTTATGGGAAACAAAGACTTGAAGGGGGTGGAGTTTACTTTTAAGTATGCCACCTGCCAAAGGAAATATAATAATCGATGGTGGAATAAGCGTTCCTTTTTGTATTATGGTGTTACTATTGCATTTCCCACAAGAGCTTGTGGAGGTATGAGACTCTACAAGAACTTGTTGAAAATGGTTATGGTTGCTCATTGTGACTTGAGTTTACTGTTCATTTAAATTATTACGAATGTTTAAACTTGAGATCTGTTTCAAATGTCACGGTTTTACTTCAAATGTTATATGATATTTTGGAAAATAAGACCGAACTGTTTTACTTGTTTTCTAAACCTTGTATGAGTATGGAAGGAATGTTGCTACAGAGCTTAGTGCTCATCCCCTACAAATAATATCTTTTCAGATTTCGTCTATGAGGAGGAGTTACAAGTAGATGAACCAGTGCATGGGGAAGCTCCCCTAGAGGGGAACGGGGGTCTTGAACTGGATGCCTAGAGTTATATTTCTTTTGTACTAGACTAGAGAGTTTATTTTGAAATCATGTAAAGTCTAGTATTTTGTTATTTCACTGCAAGTGTAATTTAATTCTTTTGGGAATATATTTGTCATACTTGGCCTATTCTTTTGGGATGGCATTGTGGATATGACATATGATGAATGAAAGTTTATTTTATGATGGATAAATAGACCCGGTGTGGTCAATAGTTATGCATATGTGGACCCGGTGTGGTCAATTGTAATATAATTGTACAGGTTGTGTTTTGGGTAAAGCTCCCCGTACAAAGGAGACTCTGCCCAAATTTTGTTAAAATATGAATGGTTGATGAATGAACTTTCGTCGTGATGAATTTACGTAATGCTCTCATGGGGTGAATGGTTTTTAGAATGTAATGTCACCCAAGGGGGTTTTTGGGGCGTTACATGCACTCTGGTAAAAACCTTCTGGAATGTTTTGCCTTTATTGCAAAACCATTCATGTGGTCCAAATCTCACATCCAACACAACTTATCTCAACTGCTAGACATTCTAACAACCTATCTATGACATATACTTTACCAAAAACTTGAACCATAAACGTGAATCACAATTGAGTGATCATGCCCAAAGTCATTTCCGAAATTGCAATATGATTTAAAATTTGATGCTTTCAAAATACAAGAC